CCCGAGAGGAAGGCCGGAAAGAACTGCGAGGCCATCTATCCTTCGAAAACTTGTCGAAGACAAACTTTGTTGGGTTCCGGAAAGATTAGAAAATTGGCGAAGTATAAGTCGTTCTACTATGCAGAGACCGATCAGAGATGATTTCAAATTGTATCTTTACAAATTTACCAAAGGACATGGTTTTACGGACTAAATGAAGACCTCAAGATTGGCAAAATGCAAAAAGAAGAAGATCTTACGCGCGGTGAGAAGCTTAACCGGATTCTCTTCACAGATGAGAAGATACTCACCGTAGAACAACTCCGAAATGCACAGAACCAACGGGATTTACTGCCAAGGAAGCAAAGAGTTGTTAAGTCTGAAAAAACACATTTTCCGCAGTCCGTGATGGTATGGGCCGGAATTTTGGGTCTGTGCAAGACCAAGCTTGTGTTCGTTCAAAAATCGAGGACAAATCTTGGAGGCTACTGTGATCGCTTGGGCCAAAGAATATGCAAAGAGCATTGATTGGACCTTTCAGCAAGATTGGGCGCTAGCCCACAGCGAAGACACTGCAGGGGTGTGAGACGTTCCAGATCTGGACGAAGAATGTTTGGCCGTCTAACTCATCCAATCTCAATCCTTTGGATTTTGCTGTCTGTTCAGTTTTGGAGCAAAAAGCCTTCTCTTTTAAAAATTAGTCACTGAATTCATTGAAGAGAGCTCTGGAGAAAGCACGGGACGAAATTTCGCCGGAAATGACCGCGAGCATCCTCAACAATTTCAAAAAGAGTTTAAATGCTTTTATTGAAGCTAAAGGTGGCCATTTTCCGTTATTTAATCTGTCATATAGAATCTTCTGGCTATATAATAAAAGAGTATATTTCTTATTTGGACTGATTGGTGCAAATTTGTGGGCATTTTTTTTGCGTCACACTTCATGTGGACCATCCTGTATAGCGAAAGCACAGGATGTATAAGCATTACTTGGGGTAGACTCTTATTACGATCCCCTCTGAGTAGAATTACAACTACTCCGTTGTCTAAATCCATTTTTCCAAAAAATGCTCTATGTGGCTATACGAGATACTGTGTCCTGATAATTTTTATTGAAATAGGGAGTGTCAATAATGTTAGAAAATTCAGACGCTTTTCCCTTATCGGAATTGTCTAAGAGAATTAGCAAAAAATGGGTACCTAAAATCTTTCCTCCTCCTCCTTCCCCCCTTCCCTTCCATCTCGACTATCTCCTTCTCCTCCAATCGTATCGTCCAATATTCGCTATTGAACTGCCACAAATCACTTTTATTAGCCAGTTTCTGAGGATATTCCTTGTTTTGAGCCTTGTATTTCCTCTGTTTCTATATCCCAAGATCCCTATTACAACCCCATGCAGTAACAGTCACTTGCTCGTTTGGTCATGGTCATAATCATCAGTTTTGGCACAATATTCAGCTCACCTTTGCATCTCGCGATCAATTCCTCTTCTTACACAAAACTATCCCTGTAAGTAGCGCTTTTTCACCGCACAGTT